CAAAACAAGAAGGCAGTGTAGTGAAATTAAGGTGTCAAGAGAAAAAAAATAAACTCACCAACCTAGAATTTTTTACCCTGTAAAATTTCCTTCAAAAGTGGAAGAGAAATAGAGACTTTCTCTGACAAAAATTCAGGAAATTTGTTGCCAGTAGACCTTTTCAAACAAGAAATGTTTGAGGAAGTTCTAGAGGGAAGGAAAATAATATAGGTCAAAAACTTGGATCTACACAGAGGGAGAATATTGAAAAAGTAGTGAGTGAGTGTAAAATAAAATGAACTTGGCACGCTTATTCTAAAATTTGTCTGGGAGAAAAATGTTCAAGAATAGATGAGAATATTTTGAAAAAAGATAGAGAATGATGGTGATTGGTAGTAGTGATGGTGGTTGGGGTGGGGAAGATTATTAAGGATTTGAAAAATGTATCATTGAAATAGAATAGAGAGCCCTGAAATGGGCATATTTACATGGGAAAATGGGGGAATGATTTAAACAACATTTTCTTAGGATAAGAAAACTATTCAAATGCTAGTTTTCAAAAACTATCTATATGAAAAAAAATTAGAAAGTTATAACCTCAAAAATTAATATTAACCTTATGCTATAAATTTAAATATGTTGCATGAAGTGAAAGTGAAAGTTGCTCAGTTGTGTCCAACTCTTTGCAACTCCATGGAATATACAGTCCATGGAATCTCCAGGCCAGAATACTGGAATGGGTAGCTTTCCCTTCTCCAGGGAATCTTCCCAAGCCGGGGATCGAACCTGGGTCTCCCACATTGCAGGCAGATTCTTTTTCAGCTGAGCCACAAGGGAAGCCCAAGAATACTGAGTTGGATAGCCTATCCCTTCTCCAGCAGCTCTTCCCAGCCCAGGAATTGAACCGGGGTCTCCTGCATGCAGGCAGATTCTTTACCAACTGAGAAGAAAAAGTTCATTTTCATACTATATGAAACAATAAATAAAAGAACTTGATATGAAAAAAAAACTAGACAAAGAATATGAACATAAAGTTTATAGAAGAGAAAACATGAATATTCAACAAACACAAGAAAGAGGTCACCCCCTCTGAAGTCAAAGAGATGCAGTGAAATGCAGCAAGAGGATCTTTTCTTTTTAGTAACATGTATCAAGAATTAAACTCACGTTTAATACCAAGTGTTGATGAAGGAACTTGGTACCTTCACTGAAAGACCTGAAACTTAGCACAGCATTATTTATAACTGTAAAAAAGTAGATATAAACTTATCAACAAGAGGCAAGTGGAGTATGGATACTGCCTAGTAATTGAAGTAAATCTGGAGGAACTCACCTTGGAGAACATCCTGTTTGTTAAGCACAAAAGGCTAAGTTGCAGAACACTACATACAGTAAGATGAACCTAAGATGAAAAAAATAAACTACAAGCAGGACTCTATAAAGGTGTAGAGAGAGGCCTGGAAGAGCACATAGCAAGTAACCTAGGAAGGGGAAGGGAATAATAGTTTACTGAATGCCTGCTTTGTGTTATGAGATGTTATAGATTCTTTACATGTACTAGTTCTAATATTCCCAGCAATTCTGAGAAGATACAACTGTGAAGACTCTCAAATTCAAAGTTTTATATCTTTATTCAGTTCAAGGACATTTTCTGAAATTATGTATTTGATTATGTACTCCCCAGAAATCTGTTTTATTTTTCAGTGACTCTTCCTCCATTCATTCTCTAGATCTTTAAATTTTTCTCTCATGTTTCTCACCTCTCTGGTTTTTTTCCCCTATGTTTTAGGTCACAGTGATTATCAAACTTGAGGTGCACCCCAATCTTCTGGAAGGCTTGTGAAAACACACAGATTGCTGGGCCCTACCCCTAGTTTCTGATTAAGTCTGGACTGGAACTCGGAAATTTTCATGTTAAAAGGTTTCCCAGTCATACTGATGCAGCTAGTTGGGTATCACATTTTGAGATCTACTGTTCTCAGGTATTTCTTCTACTTCTTTGCATTTTTTAAGTTTGAAAGTTACAGTTTTAATTTCCAAGAACATTTTCATTGTTTTCTATTTTCTGGTGACTTTTTTTTTCTTTGTCTATAAAAGAAAAACCTCCTAAAAATCTCCCTGAGGATACCAAGTAGATTTTTTTTAAAGTTACTTTCTATTCCCCACACTATCTCTGTTTCTTCTGGGTTCATGGTTCTGTTTGTTTGTCTTGGCTCCTTTTTTATGGGTTGTTGGTTTTACTCAAAGATCTGGGGATCCTTGGCTACACATTTATATCTGTGAAAGAAGGATTTTACGGTTTAATATATGTGGCTGGTATTTATCTTCTCTACCATCATAGACTCTATTTCTTCAACAGTCCCCTCCTCTAAGTTGGAACCTTTGGCATATCAACTGGCAAGATTCCATTTAAGGGTCATGGCTAGGGCCACTTCTCTCCCAGCCCTCAATAAAATGGAGAAGCCTTTTCCTGGGATGGTAGCACTGGCTGCAGGAGCTCCCAGCCTTCTCCCAAAATTCTAAGGCACCCTCTGGATTGGCCTGGGGTGGGTACCATCTTGGCCTACTGTTCTTCCTACTCAATACAGAGGGCAAGCATACAGTGGATGTTCTCTTGGACACAACTCTTTCCAGGTGGCAAAGGACTCACCGTGATTTCTCCTCCCTGCTGTCTCCTGACCTCTGTACCTGTACTTCTGACCACTGACTCTTCCCAGGTCCCCATGAGCAGTGGTTCTCACCTCCCAGGCATCTACATCTCTGGCTGCCTGTCTGCTCTGCCCATCAGGATGGTCCCATATGATTTTCTTCAAACTCTTCTGGTGGCCCCTCTCCCTTTCTTAGTGCTGTAATTTTTATTTCCCTTTGCCATTTTTTAAACTAGTGTAATCAGTGTTAAAATGGGACTCTTCAGTTCATCTGAGTCACCAACATGATAGACAATCAGATTCCACCAAGTCTGAGACAGACCATCACACACAAAACTTGTAAGAAAATGTCCAAGGAATGTTCTGTTTCAAGAAAACAAAGGAAGAGCCAGGAAGATGGGAGAATTTCTTTGGAGACAATCTTATTCTAAATCCTACCCCCTCCCCCTGCCTACAGGCCACCTGTAGAGGGGCTGGGCCGCAGGGAACAAGGGGGAGAACGGGACGGGGGGGGGGGGGGGGGGCGGGGTGCAGGGAGAGGGAAGCAGCTGGCCCCACCCCTGAAATATCACAGGAAGCCTGTGAGTTTGGGTAGCTCCTCTGTCTCTGGTCCTCACTCTCCTCTCTCTCCCACCCTGCCTCTTTTTTCTTCCTGCTTTCATCCCTTACCTCTCCTCTCTCATTTATTGCCGATTATAGCAGCCTCACGTTGCTAAGTTCTCATCACCGTTTATCAGGGACTATTACACTCCTCTCTTCCCCTCTCTTTCTGTGTATTCAGCAAACACCACTGCAGGCTGTGGTGGTGGATCTAAGATAAGAACACACACGCAAATAGTGTGATCAAGCTCCAAGAGAGGGCAGCGTGAAGGAGGAGCCCCAAATTCAGCCTGGGGTATCCCAGGAGCTAAGGCTTCTCAGGAGCTAAGTCAGGAGGAAGAGCAGATCTGGGCAGGAGAGGGGGATTTAGGAGGAGTCTTCCCAGCCAGGGAGAGCATGGTATGCAGAGTTCTAGGGATACCACAGGGTTACTTTATTCTGCTATTGTACACCTCAGCTCTACAAGGTAAGCAGCACAGTGTGAAATACCTCTTTTTCACAGATCAGAAAACTGGGGCTCAGAGAATCTATTCCACAAGCACTTCTAGACCAGCACTGGTTTCCATTCAGTGACAGAGAAGCTGACAGTAAAGAGAGAAGGATTTTATTTTTGCACTGGACTGGTCATATTTATTATAGGATTCTTGAGACTACAAGTTTTTTTATTATTCAAGAGTGATCAGAAAGCCATGGGACCTGCTGAAAATTTTACTAGGGGCAGGAATAAAGGTGTTTTCTGTTTCTGTTCTCTTTAGTCTCACTTGTTCAAGGTAAGAGGTAAATTCATTGTAATGCTTAATAAATACCACTGAAAATATGCAGTTCTCTGAGGACAAAAAGCAAAATGACTCCACCCATGTCAGTACCAGAATGTCTAGGGATTAAGCTTCCTGGGGAGGCATAACTAGACCTTAAGGGATGCTGCTGATCGCCTTCTGCCCACCCAGAATTCCCAGCCTCCCCAGAGCCCATACGCCTCACCACCCTGGACCCGAACCTGTAGGGGAACCTGGCAATCCCAGTTCTTGATGATAAGAATGTCATCACATCAGCCAGCCACTGAGCCCTGGGACTGAACTTTCTGTTCCTTTCAGCTGCAGCTACATGCTCTGAAGGCAGGCTGGCTCTGTGTGGCCCAGAGAGGTTTATGGGAGCCACATAGGAGCCAATTTCAGTTAATAGGAAGGTTGTGCATATTAAAAAGCAGAGACATTACTTTGTAACAAAGGTCTGTCTAGTCAAGGCTATGGTTTTACCAGTGGTCATGTATGGATGTGAGAGTTGGACTGTAAAGAAAGCTGAGCTCTGAAGAATTGATGCTTTTGAAGTGTGGTGTTGGAGAAGACTCTTGAGAGTCCCTTGGACTGCAAGGAGATCCAACCAGTCCATTCTAAAGGAGATCAGTCCTGGGTGTTCATTGGAAGGTCTGATGTTGAAGCTGAAGCTCCAATACTCTGGCCACCTGATGCGAAGAGTTGAATCATTTGAAAAGACCCTGATGCTGGGAGGGATTGGGGGCAGGAGGAGAAGGGGACGACAGAGGATGAGATGGTTGGATGGCATCACTGACTCAATGGACAGGGGTTTAGGTGGACTCTGGGAATTAGTGATGGACAGGGAGGCCTGGCATGCTGCATGCAGTTCATGGGGACGCAAAGAGTCGGATACAACTGAGTGACTGAACTGAACTGTGTTTGCTCAGAGGCCAATGGCCTTGTGGGGCAGGCCCAGTCAGACCCTAGAATCTCCAGGCTTCTGCCCAGTTCCTTTGGGCTATGAGGTTTGTAACTCATGGGGAGTCCCAGAATAGGCACCAGGTACTATTTCTCCCCCAGCAAGTGCCTTATGACCCTTTTCCCTCTCTAGATCTTTCTGCAAGCCTCTGGGCTTAAAGAGTTGGGTTTCTGGCTGTGGAAAGCCACAGACTTCTGGAAGACTATAGACTGTGAAGCAGAGGGAAGTGGGTGTCATTATGAGCAGTGATGGGGCCTGAAGTGAGACAGAATCACTGGGAAGGCTGGAGGAGACAGCATCTTCAGGACGTGGGGTTGACTGGATGAAGGAAGAGAGACAGCTTGCATTGGAATAGCATCTCTTCATCTGTTTTTGGCCAGAGAGTTTTCTTAGTAATCTTGAGGATGCTGCACCTCAATCCACTTCACCAGAATAACTAATTTTATAGTGTACAACTCATCCTTTACTTGGGATAAAGCTTCTCATCGTGGATTTGGCTCCCTGGCCCTAGCAGGGTGGTCTAAGTCTAACTGGGCTTCTTTGTCCCAACTGTGTGGCCTTGATGGGCCCAGTCACATTCTTCTATGAGGGGTCAAAGATTTTCCATCACTATCAAACCTATTGCACCACCATCATCACCAACCATGCATCCTCGCCAGCCTCCGCTGCCTAAACTCGCCCTTCCCCACCATCTTTGTTATCTTCTACTGTGACTATTAACCATCACCAATATCAATTCCACCACCACCACCACCCTGCCATCCTCAGAACCATCCACACCATCCCAACACCACCATCATCACCGCCATTCGCTGGGTGCTCATTACGTCCAATGCTGTGGGAAGTCCTTTCCAACCTCAGTTGGCCTTTCTCTGCTCTCTTACCCATGCTATTAGTAGAATTCTCTGCCTGCTATTGGTCCAGGTCCTGTCAGGAAGTCCACATTTATCCCTTGTTTCCAAAAGTAGGAAACCTCCAGCAGAGTGTTTATGTTTCCCCTCACTTTTAGGAAGAGATAAGAATATACCAGATACATGGCAAATTGCTTATTTGATTGGATTGAAGTGCAGATCAGGTGTTTCCTTTGGTTTCTTTACAAATTGCCTCAGCCTACCTAAAGGAACGAAAGCCAGCCCTTCTCTCATTATGTTTCAGTTAACAACAGTCATTAACTCATCACACATTTTGGGGAGGAGTGTTGCTTAGAGAATAAATTGATTTTAATCTGTTAATAAAAGACTTGCACGTGTGTGCTCGGTCGTGTCTGACTCCGTGTGACCCCATGGACTGTAGCCTGTCAGGCTCCTCTCTCCATGAGATTTCGCAGGCAAGAATACTGGTGTGGATTGCCATTTCCTTCTCCAGGGGATCTTCCCGACCTAGGGATTGAACCTACATCTGCACTGCAGGCAGATTCTTTATCACTAGCACCACCTGGGAAGCCCAATAAGAGTTTACCTTGTCCTAGTTGCGCCCCCTCCACTGTGAAGGGCTCATCTCAGTGCCTGGGGCGAAGACCGAAGGGGCCTCCCTTGGTGCCCATGTCAGGGGAACTTCCACACTCTTCATGGAACTGAATCAAGGGCTCTGGGAGAATTCATGGGAGGGAATTTCAGACTCTCCACTTTAGCCTTCAGATGTTGTTTCCAAGACCTGGGCCAATTTCTTGAAGTGCTGTTTACATTAGAATTTGCATTCACATGCATAATGGCTCTGCAGTTAGGCAGACTAGCTGTAAGCCAATAAATTATACCAGCATGGCCTTGGTATTTCCCATCGCAGGTTATCACTGTTTGTTTAGTATGTCTCCTGTTCTGAAACTTGATCTTTTCATATTCCACCATGCATTGGTGGTCTATATCTCTCTGGTTTTGTAAATTTTTACATTCCAACCAGTCACGTAGGGTACAGTGGTGTCTCACTGTGGTGATTACTAATGAGGATGAACACTTTTCTGTCTCTTTTTTGGTCACTTGGGTATTCTCTTTTAAATATCTCTTCAACCCGTTAGCTTATTTTTCTATTATTTGTCTGCCTTTTTAATTAGATAAATGAATGATAGGAATCCTTTGTTTCTCAGATATATAGACCTTTGTCAGAAAATATTACAAATATTTTCTCCTATCCTATACTTGCCTTTTTCACTGCCTTAAGGGCATCTTTTGATAATCAAATTCTTTTCCTTAATGTAGTCAAATTTTATCAGTGTTTGCTTTTGTGGTAGTGCTTTTTGCGACTTATCCTAAAATAACATCTTTATCCGGCAGTTAGAAGAGATTCCTCAGGGCATGCATGCTAAGTCACTTGAATTGTGTCCGACTCTTTGTGACACTGTGGACTGTAGCCTGCAAGGCTGTTCTGTCCATGGGATTCTCCAGGCAAGAATACTGGAGCGGGTTGCGGTTTTCTCCTCCTCCTCTCCTCCAGGGGAATCTTCTCGACCCAGGGGTCCAACCCAGCCTCTTCTGTCTCCTGCCCTGTAAGGTGGGTTTTTTTTTTTTTTTTTTTTTACCACCAGCGCCGCCTATTATTTCATAAAAACTTTATTGTTTTTCATTTTACATCTAGGTTTATAGTCCACCTGAAATTGACTTTTGTGCATGGTTTGATATAGGAGTTGAGCTTCATTTGTGTTTCATATGGATATTTTATAGATAAATCCAGAATAATTTATCAAAGAGGCCATTCTCCATTGTTCTGTAGTGCTAACTTTGTCTTGAAACTAGCCTATTGATCTACATTTATGAGCACTGTATTCACACTGTCTGTACTACTATCTCTTTGTAGTGTCTTAAATATCTGATAGGACAAGATTTTCTGTTTTGTTTTCCTCTAGATTCTTTGGCTCTTAGCCCTGTGTATTTTAGAATCAACCTGTCAGTTTCACTAAAAGAAAGAAAAACAAAGAAAACCAGCCTATTAAACATTTTGATTGGGAATTCATGAATCTAGAAATCAAAGTAAAGAGATTGGACATCCTTTTACTTCAAATACTTCTATTCCTTTCTTTCTTCTCCTTCTGTTATTGCTATTACATTAACCCTCTGTGTCCCACAATTCTTGGATATTCTTCCTTTCCCTTCCTTTTCTTCCTTCCTTCCTTTCCTCCTTGCTTTTCAATTTAGGACGTTTTTATTCAAATATTTTCAAGCTCACTAGTTCTTTCCTCAGTCATGTGCAGTCTACTGATGAGCCCATCAAAGGCATTTTTTCATTTCTGTTAATAGTGTTTTTCATTTCTAGCCATTTCCTTTACGTTCTATCTTAGAGTTTCCATCTCTCTGCGTACACTACCCATCTGTTCCCACACGTCCATTTTTCCCCCATTAAAGCCCCCAGCGTATTAATCACAGTTGTTTTAAATTCCTAGCCTGATAATTCCAAAATCTCTGCCATAGTTGAATCTGATTCTGATACTTTGTCTCTTCAGTCTTTTTTTTTTTTTTTTGCCTTTAGCAAGACTTGCAATTTTTTGTTGAAAGCTGGCTGTGAAATATTGTGTAAAAGGAACGAATAGAGTATTAGTGGAATGTTTTACATTTGTCTGGCTAGGAATTAGGCTGTGTTCATTGCTAGCTGTAGCTATGGTCAGAGGCTAAATTTGCTTCTAGTGTTCTTGTTTTGTCTGCCCTGTCCTCACTGAGTTTCCCAAGAGACTCTTTCTTAAATTGGATCTGAGGTTTGCAGTCTTGTAGCTGTTATCCCGGTTGTACAGGATGTGGAGGTGGGGGAGGGGACACAGTCTATAGTACTATCATTGGATTTCAGTCTTTTAATAGGCCAGTGTCCCTGGGCATCACAAGTGCTTCTCAGCTCCCTCACCCTTTAAGTGAGACAGGAAGGTCAGAGAAGACTGGAGTTGAATAGTTTCCTTTCCTCAGGTTGATTAGACTTGGGCAAAACTCAAGTCAGTCAGGCTCTGATAAAATAGTTTCTCTTGATGGTGGGCCATGTCAAGGAGAACAAAGGACTCTGGGCATATTCTAAAATGTTTACTTTTCCCAACACAAGGGGAAACACAGGAAAACCTGAAAGTAATAAAAGTGGTTAGAATTCCCATGACTTCCCCCTTCAGAGTTTTTAGCTCTCAAGCTTGTCTATGCTGAGCTTCCAGCAATCTGCCAATTGTAATTTATATTTCTATCATACTGACTTCTGCCCCTGGGGTTCTCCTGGTGAGATATGGGTTTATGTATCCTTCTGTTTCTCTAGTTTTCAGGGAAACAGTTTGCCCTATGATTTCAATTTTCTGTGGCTCTAAGAAGAGTTGTTGATTTTCCATTTGTTGCCTTTTTTTCTTATGTAGCGATGAGGGTGATGACTTCTAAATTCTCTACATTATATCCAGAAGTGCAAATAACCAAAATGTCTATCAAATGATGACTAGATAAACAAAATGTGGTATATTCATAGAACAAAATATTATTCAGCTATAAAAAAGAATGCAGTACTGTTATATGATACAACATGAATGAACCATGAAAACACTGTGTTAAATGATGAAGCCAGTCACTGAAGACCACATGTTAAATGATTTCATTTATATGAAATGTTCAGAATAGGCAAAAATGTAGAGACTGTAACTGTTAGGGTTTATTTCTGGACTCTCAGTTCTATTCCATTAACCCATATGCCTATCCTTATGCCAGCAGCATACTATCTTGGTTCCTGTAGGTTTGTAGTAAGTTTTGAAACTAGAAAGTTTAAGTCTTCCAACTTTATACTTTTCTCAAGATTATTTTGGATATTCTATATCCCTTGTATTTCCACATGAATTTTAAGATCAGTTTGTCATTTCTGAAAAAGAAAAGAAAACCCCAGCTAGGAGTTAGATTAGGTTTACATTGAATCTACAGGTCAGTTTGGGGATTATTTTCATCTGAACAATATGAAGTCTTCCAATCCAGGAACATGGGATCACTTTCCATTTATTGAAAACTTCTTTAATTTCTTCAACAATATTTTGTAGTTTTCTATATACAAGTCTTGCACTTATTTTGGCAGATTTATCCTGAAGTATTTTATTTGTTCTGATGATAGAGTAAATTGGATTGTTTTCTTAATTTCATTTTCAGACTTTATTGCAAGTTTATAGAAATACAATTGATTTTTGTATGTTGATCCTGTACCCAGCAACCTTGCTGAAAGAATGTTGATTTTTTTTTATATTGAATTTGTACCCAACAAGCTAACTAAACTTTCTTATTAATTCTAATACCTTATATTGTTCTACAGCCATCACAGTAATACAATACATAATGTATTGATGGACCTCACACTCTTCAATCTGTTATGTGGCAAATTAATTAATTGATTGATTTTCTGAAGTAATAATATACCAATTTTGTATACCTTGAGTGAATACAACTTGATGCTGTATTATTCTTTTTATATACTGTTGTATTCGATATAACATTTTAAAAATAATTTTAAAATATATATTCATGAGTGATGATAGTTTCTAATTTTTTGTTCTTATACTTTCTTTGTTAGATTATGGCATTAGGGTTTTGATGCCAGCCCCCACAAGGAAAAATGTATTGGAGATAGTCCTTCTTTTCTCTTCTCTAGAAGAGTTCATGTATGATTGAAATTATTTTTTGAATAATTGTGAACACTGTTGAAGTAACTTGTATCTAGAGTTTTCTTTGTGACAAGATCTTTGATTACTGATTCAGTTTCTTTTGAAGTCGATGATATTTAGCTTTCTATCATTCTTAAGTTGTATTTTCCCTAGCAACTTCTCTATAACATGTTTCAAATGTATACAAAATATTTATAATATTATTTTTTTATATTTGTAATATCTATAGCGTTGGTAATTATTTCACTTTTTTATTCATGATATTGTCACTTGGTCATGTCTGACTCTTTGTGACCCTGTGGATTGTAGCCTGCCAGGGTCTTCTGTCCATGGGGATTCTCCAGGCAAGAATACTGGAGTGGGTTGCCATGCCCTCCTCCAGGGGATCTTCCCAACCCAGGGACGATCTCTCCCGCCTTGCAGGTTGACTCTTTACCATCTGAGCTGCCTGGGAAGCCTAAGAATACTGGAGTGGGTAGCCTATCCCTTCTCCAGGGGATCTTCCCAACCCAGGAATTGAACCGGGATCTTCTGCATTGTAGGCAGATTCTTTACCAGCTGAGGTACCAGGGAAGCCCTATTTATAATTTTATTTTCTTATATTTTTAATGTCTGTAGCATTTGTAATTGTTTCACTTTTTTATTCATGATATTGGGTGCATGTGTCTTCTTTTAATGACAGGTTTTATCAGACTTCAATTTTCAAAATCTTTTCAAATAATAAATTTCTGGCTTTGCTGATCCTCACTATTGCATCTCTATTTCATAAATTCCTTTATTCCTTTACATTTATTTAGATTTGCTTTGTACTTTTTCTACATTTAAAAGTTTATTTTAGATGTTCTTTCTTTTCTAATATATGTATTGTAGTCATTACCTTTTCTTCTAAATACTTCTTCAGCTGGATCACATGAGTTTTACTTACCATTTTCTTTATTAGTAAATTCAAAATACCTTCTAATTTCCATTATGATTCCTTAACCCATTGGTTATTTAGGAATGTATTCATTAATATCAAAATAAAAATTTTCTAGTTATCTTCTGTTGTTGTCAACTTCTAGAATAATTGCATAGTGGTCACAGAACATGCTCTATGTGTTTTCATTTCTTTCAAATTTGTTTTATAGCTTTATGGTAAAATTTGCCTAAATGTTGCACTGAGCCCATAACAATGCAAGCATAGGGTCTTAGTTGCCCTGTGGCATGTGAGATCTTCCTGGACCAGGGACTGAACCCATGTCCCCTGCATTGGCAGGTGGATTCTTAACCACTGGACCACAAGAGAAGTCCTTCACAGCATCTTTGACTGAATGGCATACATTATTGGGCTTTCCTTGTGGCTCAGCTGGTAAAGAATCTGCCTGCAATGCAGGAGACCTGGGTTTGATCCCTGGGTTGGGAAGATCCCCCTGGAGAAGGGAAAGGCTACCCACTCCAGTGTTCTGGCCTGGAGAAGTCCATGGGGTCGCAAAGAGTCGGACACGACTGAATGGCTTTCGCTTTCATTTTACACATGTAAAGAACGTGTTCTCATAAGTTATCAAGCACAACAAATGTGTCCTTGGGTCAAGTTTCTTGATAGCATTGCTCAAAGGAGCTCAACAATATTGCTGACTTTAGTGTACTTGTTCTATCAGTTACAGAGACAGAGATGTTAAAATTGGCTAAGTCAGCTTTCTTTTAGTTAATATTTACATGATAAATCTCCTTCCTTTTTACTGTAAATCTTGCTGCTTTTTTGTAAAATATAGCTTGGAAATAACATTACTTGTGTTTTGTTTTGCTTTTATGTAGTTTGACAATTAATTACTAATAAATTTCAATTTAATTCAAATCCATGTGCTAACTGTCTCATGGGTTTCATAGTTTTCTGTCCTTTTTTTTATTTTTGAAAAGATATATATTTTAATAATTTCATTTCCCCTCAAGTAGTTTCTAAGTAAATATGTGCTCTACTTTCATTCTTTTGGTATTTACCCAGGAAATTATAACAATTTATCTTTGATTTATAAAAATTAATATTAATCAATGCCTTTATGTACCTCTTGAATGAGATGACCTTAGAACATTTTACCTTCCTGTAATTTTTCCTCATTATTATTAAATACACTCTATTCCACTACAATATGTTTCTTTAATAATTAGCTCATACATGATTGATAAACAATAATGTCAGCATAAATCAGAAACTCTGCTATTTGCTTGTAATTTTCTCCAGGACATTAGTGTTTTGAAGCCATGAGAGGCAAACTTTCTTGTAATTAAAGACAAAGCCTTGGTGTGATGCAAAGACCTTAAAAAAAAAAAAAGCTAAAAATTCTTCAGACATGCCTTTGCACTAACTTTAGTGCAAGCAGAGGCTGTTTTACTGGCTTTAAGAATGTCTAGGGGTTTCCCTGGTGGCTCAATGGTAAAGAATTCACCTCTTAGTGCAGGAGACGTGAGTTCAATCCCTGATCCAGGAAGATCCCACATGCTATGGAGCAACTAAGCCCATTCATGACAACTATTGAGTCTGTTCTGGAGCCCTGGAGCTACAACCACTGAGACCTCTTGCTGCAACTACTGAAGCCCTTGTGACGTAGAGCCTGTGCTCCAGAACAAGAGAAACCCCAGCAGCTAGAGAGTAGACCCTGCTCTCTGCAACTAGACCCAGCACAGCCAAAAATAATAAATAATAATTTAAAAGAACCTCTAACACACTTGGTAACTTTAGACATCTGGGTAACTAAGAGTGCAAATGAAGAAGCTGCAAATAAACTTCTGTGTAGAAGTAAGGTCTAATTGATGAAGTCTACCCCCAAACTAATTTTTTGCAATGTGTTTCATTGTTTAACTAACATATGACTTATATTGTGTATAGTTCCATGAGTTTTGGCACAGATATGTATTTTTATAACCACTGCCATAATCAAAACAGTTCTTTTTTTCCCCCAGCACTTTCAAACTGTTGTTTCACTTCCTTCTGGCCTCTTTGGTTTCTGATAAGAAATCCATAGTCATTTGACTCTTTGTTCTTCCTAAAGAAATGTTGCATCATTGTTTTCTTATTCTTCCAGATCTCAAGATTCTTCCCCTTGTCTTTATTTTTCAGCAATTTGATTATGAAATGTCTAGCATGAACTTCTCTGAGTTTATTATCTTTGGATTAATTTAGCTTCTTGACCCTGTAAGCTTATTTTTTCCCCCAAATTTGAGTTTTTTAACCTTTTTACTTCATGTATGTTTTCTACCCTACACTTTTTTTCTTCTTCTTCTGCAACACAAGTTTTGTATTGACAAAATTATTTGACAGTTTTGATATTGTCCCACAGGCTTCTTAGGCTCTGTTCATTTTTTTTCCCCACTATCTTTTTCTCTCTGGTGTTTAGATTGGATAATTTCTTCTGATTTATCTTCAAGTTCACAGCTTTTTTCTCTGTCACTCCATTAAGTCCATCCAATGAGATTTTTGTTTCAGTTATTGTATTAGTTCTAAAATTTCCTTGTGGTTCTTTATAGTTTCTATTTCTCTGCTGAGATTTTCTGTCTTTCCATTCATTTTAACAGTTTCATTCTTATTTTATAATGGCTGCTTTAAAGTCTTTATCAGATAGTCCCAATATTTGTCACATTTATTGTCTTTTCCCATGAGAGTTGACGTTTTCCTCGTTTTTTTGTATGCCAGGTAGTTTTGGATTGTGTCCTGGCCATTGTAATTATGTTATGAGATTCTGGGTCTTGTTTAAATCCTATATAAAATATTGAAATTTTGTGTGAAGAGGCAGTCAGCTCACTTGGATTCTGGCTGCAAGTTCCAATGAGCCTTCTGCCATTTGTGGTTTTCTTTTCTTTTTCTTTTTTTTTCATTTGTGGTTTTAATAGTAAGTTCCATTTTCAAACCTTTACAGTGCTATTCCGAACCTATCCTGCATGTATGCCACCTAGTGGTCAGTTTGGTTCCCAGAACACAGTCTATCTCAGTTTAGTTCTCAACTCCTTTGGTATGCTGTTTAGAATTAGATCTGTGCATGCACAATTCAGAGGTGAGCCCAGGATTTCACAAACAAGTTCATAGGATTGTTCTCTTAAGCCCCGCCCCGCCTTCTCTGCAAGCTCCTACATACTTTTTATTTCTCTGTGGCTCCATTTTGGTCTTCTGGCTAGGAAACTAATGCTGGACCTCTAGTTACCCTACTTCCCGCGTTGCATTCATGTCTTGGGACAAGTGACAGAAGGGAAAAAACAGTAATGCAGGTTTATCTTACCCTCTTGGGATGTTCTTTTCAGTACAAATAACCCTGATGAAAGAGTAAGGTTCCCTTCCATTAAAGTTTTAGGTCCATCTGGAAATTGTCCTGGAATTGTTCCTGGAAATTGTCAGTTTATAGTCTTTGTCCATTTTTTTTCTTTTTTAAGCAGATGGCTTATCTCTTTTGTCTCTTCTTTTCTCTGTAGTTCATTATATATTCTGGATATTATTTATGAGCTGATATATTGTATGCAAATACTTTCCCTATTTTCACTAATTTTATAAAATTATCACTAATTTTTTTCTTTTTTGTTTTGATATAATAAAATTCATTACTTTTTTCCATTTGCATTTAAAAAAATGTTGTCTTAAGAACACCTTCTTATCTGATAATTATAAACATATTAGCCTAAATTTTCTCCTAGTACTTTTATAGATGAGTTCATATTTGTCAAGGGATAAGACAACTTTGTTTCCCCTTCCACATGATAAAGTTAATTGTTCCCAAATCATTGATTGAATATTCTGTCCTTTCAAAAACTCTTTTGCAATGCAACCTTTGGTATATTTAATTCCTATACATTCATAGATTTCATTCTGTATTCTTTATTCTGTTTAATAATCTACTTTTTTATACCTGAATCAATACCATGCTGTTATGATTACTATAGCTTTTTAATATGCTTTGTTATATTAAAGGACACGTTTCTTTCTTTTTTTTTCTTGTCTTTTCTAGTCATCTTCTGTATTCTTTGGGCTTCCCTTGTGGCTCAGCTGGTAAAGGATCCGCCTTCCATGTGGGAGACCTGGGTTCAATACCTGGGTTGGGAAGATCCCCTGGAGAAGGGAGAGATGACCCACTCCAGTATTCTGGCCTGGAGAATTCCATAGACTGTATAGTCCATGGGGTCGCAAAGAAGAATACAGAAAAAGTGAAAAGTGAAAGTGAAAGTTGATCAAATGTGTCTGACTCTTTGCAATCCCATGGACTATAGTCCATCGAATTCTCCAGGCCAGAATACTGGAGTGGGAAGCCCTTCCCTTTTCCAGGGGATCTTCCTGATCCAGGGATTGAACCCAGGTCCCCCACACGGCAGGTGGATTCTTTACCAGCTGAGCCTTGTAAAGGCTCTGTATTCTTGTAATTTTCTCTTTCAGATGGATTTTGGAATCTCTCATAAAATCCCTTTAAGCATTTCTATTGTAACTGCAGTTAATAATTACATTTCAGTGAACTGACGTGTTAATAAAGAGTAATCCCGTCCACCATCATGCTATATTTTCTAATTGTAATCTATTACTTTTATGTCTTCTAAAATTTTATAATTTGCTTCATATAGGTTTTTTACATTTCAGAATTTATTATTGTTATATATTATGAACTTGCAAATAGAAATTTTATAGATTTTTTTGAAAAAATGGGAATTTTTCTATTATAGTTTTAAATTGGTTTTGTTGGTATAAGAGAAAGTTACTTGCTATACCCTGTTACTAGTTCTGACAATCTATCCATTGGTATGTTATGAAATTTTCTATGTATATGATTATATTACCAATAACTAGATAATTTTGTCTCTTTCTATTTTTTCTGAGTTTATATATTAACCTTTTTCTCCCTTGGAAAAAGCCTTTAGGACAGTCTTCATTATTTGTAGTTGCCTTGTACCTTGTTCTTTTACATTAATGAAAATACTTCCAGTGTTTCACCACTTTCTCTGATGTCTCTGCAGCTTTTTGAGAGGCACTATCAGTTCAGTTCAGTTCAGTTCAGTCGCTTAGTCACATCCGACTCTTTGCGACCCCATGGCCTACAGCACTCCAGGACTCCCTGTCCATCACCAACTCCTGGAGTCTACTCAAACTCATGTCCATTGGGTCAATGATGCCATCCAACCATCTCATCCTTTGTCATCCCCTTCTCCTCCTGCCCCCAATCCCTCCCAGCATCAAGGTCTTTTTCAATGAGTCGGTTCTTTGCATCAGGTAGCCAAAGTATTGGAGCTTCAGCTTCAACATCAGTCCTTCCAATGAATATTCAGGACTGATTTCCTTTAGGACAGACTGATTGGTTCTCCTTGCAGTCCAAAGGACTCTCAAGTCTTCTCCAACACCACAGTTCAAAAGCATCAATTCTTCGGCACTCAGCTTTTCTTTATAGTCCAACTCCCACATCTGTACATGACTACCAGAAAAACCATAGCCTTGACTAGACGGACCTTTGTTGGCAAAGTAATGTCTCTGCTTTTTAATATGCTGTCTAGGTTGGTCATAACTTTTCTTCCAAGGAGTAAGTGTCTTTTAATTT